AATGTTATTGGATATTTTCTGAGTTGTCTTTAAAGATCTTCATCCTCCACTTACATTGGAAATTATATTGTAACATATAATTTCAATGTTTTTAATCCTGGGAATTGAGGTCATATTTCCAAGATTTGTTGTGCATTTGTGTGGGAAAACTCTAAATTAGAAACCATCTGTGTTTGTCTCGCAAGGGGCTCAGAATGTCTCATCTGTTTTTCAGAATTTTCTGCCCATGGGGAATAGGAGAGTCCGTAAGGGAATTAATAATTTTTTAACGTCTGAGCCAAAAGGAATGGGTTTGAGAGCCAGATATCCACTTCATAAAAAGAGATCTTTTCTCCTTACTAATTTATCTCTCAAAACTAAATCACAAATAATCTTCACCCTTACTATGATTTAATTGGACTCCTTGTACATGACTGTCATCAAACAGCCCAATTTTTAAAAAACCACAAAATTGTAGCATTCAGAAATGCCGATAAAATCAGAATACTATTGACTATTGCAGACTCAAAGTTCACTTCTAAGCCTTTGCTAACCTCTCAAATGATAGTTTTTTTAAAAAAAATCTGCCTCTCATATTGATTCTCTTTATGAAAAGAGTACCCACCTTATTACATATTGTGCATATCCTTTCAGAGATAAGACTGCCTCAAATCCAAATTACTTTAGTAAATCAACACATTTTATCCTGTGTGGGTCTTGAGAAAGGAACCATATAAAGCACTCCAAGTTGTCTGGCTCAAGTAGGTTGTCAGCGTCTCACCCTGAGCCCAGCGCCTCAGACCACTTGGCCATCCTGAGACTCTAGGTTGTCAACTTCTAAGTGCCCCAATGGGAAGGGAATTTACACACTGGGGGAGCTGGCTGAGATGGCTGTTAAGGTGTACTCTACACCTGAGATTCAATGTGGGTTTGTTGAGCAAACACTAGGTTCTGTAATGGGGTCTCTATGATTTTTTTTTTTTTTTCACTAAAAGATAATTTACTCAGAATGAACATTTATTGGAAATTTTTTTTTTTTGTAAGAGATAGGCATAGTGTTTCAAAGATGCCTCCTTGTGTGAATATACAAAACAGTGGGCCCATTGGACCAGTCGCATCTACCTTCTTCAGAATTCACCACAGTACAGTTTGGTTACTGATGAGAGACTGATTTGTTTCTGAGATCAGCTTGAGGAGAAAAAGAAATGCCTCATCTCACAGTATGAAAAAGCCATCTAATATTTACTTCTGAAAAAACTGAGCATCTGGTTATACGAAAGGTTTGAGAATTTTAATGATTCCCCCAAATTCAACCCTTTATCGAACCAATTTATTTAGGGATCTTAAGGTCAATAATATAGTTATATCCAGGTACAAGTTTATCCTATGTACATAAACGAACATTAAAAAATTCAAGATACCTCTTGTAACAGAATTAGAAGTTTAGTAGTTGAACACAGCGAAAGAAAATGTGGAATAGTCTATTAAATATAACTTCTTTTTTTCAAATTGCCAAAAGAAGCATAAATGACCAGCGAAGTTTTAGAACTCTGTAAGTACAAGACTGCTAATGGGTCAAAAATAAGAAAATTTCATTTTTACGTCTTCGAGAAACTTCTGAGGAATACCCACTGAGTCACTGTAAAAAGCAGCATCTTCATAATTCAGCCAAAGATGGGAGTTCTCTCAAATGAGAAAGATAAGCTGCGAACTGGGGTTGACCTCAGAGCTGTTCAAAAGCCTCCGTTGATTTAAGTCAATAAGGTGAAAATGGTAAGCAGCTGTTTTGTTAACAACATAGAAAAGGAAAATGGAAGATGCTAATTCAAATCAAATTGGAAAATGTTGAAAATAGGTTAATTTATCTACCTTGGAAATAAATGGAAGTTATATTAATTCCGCCTTTAAAAGGTGTATAATAAAGCACACCAGATCATTGGGAATAAATACAGAAAGATAAAGGAATGAAACATTTGTCCAGGATATGTGGGGCTGTTTGTAAGGACTGAGTTTGAATAAACAATAACTAAGTATCTTTCATTATAGGAAGTGACTGTTCTATGCAAGTAATGGCAGCATTTTACATTCCTAAAGTTAAAAATACTGAAATGAATTTTGGACACAGAAACACATACCAGTGGTCATTCGTATGGAGAAAAAAAAAAAAAAAGTGAATTGTAGGATAGAATTCCTGAGACAGATAGACCCTGGATCTGATCTTATCAAGAAATTCTTATGGTCTTTCCCCCCACCTCGTCCTGGAATTTAGTTCAATAAAAGTTCCTAAAAACAAACAGAATGAATCAGAGTCACTGAGTATAGCCACAGGCTGGCGGGAAATGAGCTTCTATCAATCCCAGGTTCATCGAGGCACTTGTAACAAACCATTAACTGCATTTCAAAAAAACCCCCACATTTTTCGAAGGGTGAGATCAACCAAAAATGTGATCAGACCCCTCTCACTAAGAACTGCATCGGACATGAGACAAGCAGTAGCAGAGAGAGCCCGAATGGGAAAAGTGGTGCCCAGAGTTACACAGATGCAAAGTGTGTCTGCAGACCTTTCGTTTCTTTGTCTGCTTTGACTTGTTAAAGACGCTAGTTTTCATTCTCTATGCCACGGGACCTAGGAAGTCTGTGCAGCATCTCTTGACAGGATTCTTTTAAGTCAGTGGGGACATTTCCGGCATTCCTTGTTTCTATCAGGTTCAGGTACCTAAAGCTTGTTGTTTACAGAGCATGGATGTCATCTCACTGTTCCACTTCCTCTCCAATGGTTGGATAAGCAGTGATTCAATTATTTGATAGGCTAGTGGCCAGTGGCAATGCAGTGGAGGCCCACAGTATTGATCTTTGATGGTGTGTGCAATGATTTGATTTGGGGGGATACGGTGATGGGGCTTGGGAAGAGAACAGGCAGCATAAAAACTGTCTGTGCTCTAATGGAAGTTTTCAACTGGTAGGCCCATGGGAAGGTCATCTTGAATTCCACAGGAGAGAGAAGTGTTCTCATAGAATAAATTATTGTTTAAAATAAACACTTGAGGATAAATAAGGCACTAAGTTAGTGTTAGTGGTACTGAAATCCAAAGTATAGTCTCTAATTGTGTTTGTTTTCCTTTTTGCCTCTTGGGAAATAAACCTGGGAATGTTAATGGGGAGTAGTCACCCTGCTCTTCGTAATTTCTGGCATGGACATGGACATCCATCAGAAGGTGTCAGATTAACATGTTTTTTTGTTTTGCATTCTTTTCTTCCTGAAAAGTAATTCCTGGGATATTTGGGGGGTGGGAGGAATGGAGGTTGATAGTTTGTTTAGCACAGACACCAAGTCTAAAAGAAAGGAAAGCCATCTCTAGAGGGATAGATAAAGCATCCAAATGAAAGAGAAAGTTCTGCAGAATGAAATGTTCTCTTGGGAGACATGAACCCATTTCGGACACTATTGGTATGGGGGCCACTTTCCTGGCTGCCACAGAGGGACAGTGTGGCCCCGTGGAGTCACCACCGCTGCCCAGACTCCCCTGATTAGGGGCTTGCTGTGTCTGGTAGGCATCTGCTGCTGCTGCTTGGCAGAAAAGCCTGGGATGCAGCTCCTGGTGGTGGCATTTTGCCAGGCCTCAAAAGGAAATGGCAATGCTGGTCATTCCATAAAGGAGGACATTCTCTTCTCGTAGCACATACAGCAGATAAGTGACAGTGAAGAGGCCCCATGACACCAAGCCTATGAGTGTCCCATGGCTGTGGATGAATACTTCAGGGGACAACTTGAGAACTAACAAGTTTTGGTTCTTGTGGTTGTTTTTTTCTCCCTTTAGACATCCTTTTTAAAACCAACCCAGGTTGCTTTTGTTTGTCTGAGTGTGAACTTGGTAGGTTTGTCTCCACTCCTACTCTGATTCCTTCTTTCCTTTATTTCTTTATTATTTTTTTAGAGGCAGGGTCTTACTATGCTACTCAGGCTGGTCTCAAACTCCTGGCCTCAAGCAGTCCTCCTGCCTTGGCCTCCCAAAGCGCTGGGATTACAGGCGTGAGCCACTGCACCCAGCCTACTTTCTTTTTAAAATCATCACCAAAACCACGTTTACTTTATTGGGATAACTGGCAGAGTTATAACTCCCAACTCAAACATGGATTGTGTATATGGCAAATATTTAGAGTCTTATGGGCTGGCTATTATTGATGAGGAATTTCAGTGAGAATCTCCCAGTTAGTCATAAAAACATACTACCCTTAAAAATACAGCTTCCTTCCAGCTCTCCTGATCAACTGGTTAAATATCTAGTGAAGCAATACTTGCAAATAACAAGAAGGGAAGTTATCATAGCCCTTCTATATTAAGTAAATCCATTGGGTAAGATTCATAGGCTCCTCGATCACTTTTTTGGCATTTAGAAATCAAGTCTCCAGAAATGAAAAAGAATAATTGAATGTTTCCTTGCTCTGAAAATACATGTATATTATGGTCCTGAAGAACAAGCTCTAGCACGATGTCTAGTGTTGTGTTGATGTTATTCCTGCCAAAGCGGCCCAACACAATGTTCCATTGAAATGTTGACAATCCAGAGCTCTACCAGGGTTTCTGTGGTGCCGTGTTCTTTTCACCCACATTTGCAACTGCAAGCTGTGAATTTATTTTTCTTTGTGGATTCTTGGGGAGGACCTGGTGTTGATTCTATCAAGATATGACAAAGATTATTTCAAGAAAAAGATTATATATTGTAATGCTTAGCATTTATATAGGTTCTTTTGATTTCAAAACAAGTTATAAATATTTCCTACCGTGACAACATCCTTGCGAGGTAGGTGAGTATTACCATCTACATTACCAAGAGAAGCCCGAGGCCAAGCAGTGAGAAGCTCTGCTTTGAGTCACAGAGTCGGGAACAACATTGGAACTGGACATCCCGGCCACCTGCTGTGGGCTCTGAAGAGGCCATGCCTCTCCCTAGTGTAGCAATGGTCTCCATTAATACAGGGGTATATATTGTATAGATATAAAACAACAACACACAATTACATTATAGAACAATAATTCAATATTTCTGTTTCTTAGTAAAATATGTTAAGCACAGTATTTAAATTGCATTTCTCTGAAAAGCATTTGGTATATTAAATAGCACAAGGTATATTAAATAGCTCTATAAATGTTTGCTGGCATACTCTTAACAGCATAATGATTCTAAAGAAATTAAAATCCACTGAAGCATAGAGATCTTTTCTTTATAATACCATAAACTGAACAAAAATGTGAAAAACTACTTTATTCCCAAAATGCAGACTTGATAGCTTGCTGGATATAAGCAGGTGGCCACATAATTTCGTAATTTATCTGAGCTTGAGAGAAAGGACATATATTGCTGACTGTCGTTTTTTTAAAATACCAATTCGGTAGGGGAAAAAAGGATTCAGTTGAAAGGTAAAAATGAAAGACCACTATTTCCACGTAGTATCCACTCTGAGAAATTTGTAGGTTTTCAAAAGATGTTATCATAGTTAGAAGTAATGTTGAGGTTGAATACAGAATATAATAGGAACATTTTGTGAGAAGAGAAAATGATACCAAATAAAATCTATGGTATAAGAAGAAAATGAGCAAGACAGAAAAGGATATTTTTCAAGGGTGTTGAAGGCTGGCATGAGATGTAAGCTGTTCACGCTTAGCTGACTGTGTAGGTCTTGGAGACGATTTACAAGGATAAACACTGGTTTTATCAGTCTCTTCTCCAAGGCAAAAATCCTCACCTTCCTCTCTAAATTAGCAGTTCTCAGAATGGTGTTAAAGAGCCCATCTCATGCTAAGCTTCCTAACAACTGACCGGGTAGGTCAGCAGAAAAAGTTCTCAAACTAGAAAGAAGCAGGAATGAAAGTCTTAAAATTTGTATGCAAATGTAAAAACTAACTTCTACGCCAGAATGACATTCTCTGTCAGAGGTAACAAATACAAAAGTCTTAATTTCAGTGTACACGACGCTAAGATATTGTTAGATAGGTACTATGTGTCGTTCAGAGAATATTTTTTATAAGTGTGCTTTTTCCCTAAAAAAAAGAGACATATTAAAGTGTTTTTTTCTCTCCTCAAGTCCTTTATGTATAAATATGAAATACGGAACTGTCCTATCAGTTTGTTTATTCACGTTATACGTTCCAGGGATCCTTTCCGCCTGCATCGTCTGTGGCAGTTTTGTTGGAGGGCGGTTTGAGTTTGAACAGGCTTGAGCAGTTCGGCTGTTTGGTTGGCTGTAAGGTTTTGGCATACGGTGAATACCAGTCCCTTTCAAACACATCTTTAAGTTGCTTAATGATGCTTCTGTTGTTCCTCACATCTGCCTGGTTGATAACAAGGCCCGTTCCAGCATTCTGTGTGAAATCATTCCCTACCCAATCAAAATTTCCTGCAAACAAACAAAGAAATAATGTTGAGGAGTTAGAGTCCACTGGGAACATACCCAATATAATGAAATTCAGAGTGGATTCTATTAAAAATCATCAACACCCAGAAATAACAACGGAGAGGCTGAATTGTGTTGACAGCTCCGAAAAGAAAAATCCAAGAAGCCTTACATATGGCATATTAATATTTGCATATTATTTTGGCATTTTCTTCAGCTTCGCTCCGGTGGAAACTCAAAACAAGGAATCTGCTGTTCTTTCTTGTAAATGTTATTTCTTATTGACATTCACAAGCCACACTAAATACAGCAACATTTAAAACATATAGGGATTCATTTAAAAATCCTGTGAGTAATTACTACCTTCTCAAAGAGACAACATCTAATCCGTGTGAACAAATGAGGGATTCTAATTAAAAGTCCCTGAAGCGTTCACATCAAAGAAAATGCTCAAGCCAGAGAAGGAGACTCAGTTTCTAACAAACACCCGACTGGACTAGAAATCATTTCCCAGATCCAGGATCCAGCCTCTTGGCCCAGGAAGTGGGGCAGGTGCTATGAGAACAGCCTCTCAGGGATGACTGCCCGTGTTACGTGGTGTATTCATGTTTTCAGGGCTGCCATAGCAAAGTTTCACAAATTGTGTGGATGAAACTGTAGAAATGAATTGTCTCATGGTTCTGGAGACAAAATCCAGGTGTTGGGAGGGTGATTCCTTGTGAGAACTGTGAGCAGGGATCTGTTCCAGACCTTTTTCTGTGGCTTGTAGATGGGCATTTTCTATTTTCTTTCTATTTATTTATTTATTTAGTTTTTAAATGTTTAAATAGAGATGGGGTCTTGCTATGTTGCTCAGGCTGGTCTTGAACTCCTGGGTTCAAGCGATCGTCCCACCTCAGCCTCCCAACATGTTGTCTGCCCTCTATGCATGTCTCTGTCCAAATTTCCCCTTTTGACAAGGACATCGTTCATATTAGATTAAGGCCACACTCATGATCTCATTTTAACTTGACAATTTCTCTAAAGATCCGTCTCTCAATAGAGTTACATTCTGAGGTACTGGGGTTAGGACTTCAACATATGAATTTTGGAGGGACGCGATTCAGCTCATACAAAGGAGTAAGTCTGGGTTCTGCCCTAGAAGAGACTAATGTGTAAGCCACTCCCGTGTAGTCCATCTTCGAGGTGTGGGGGAAGCAGTGGCGCCTGAGAGCTAGAGTAATGCCATTTTCAGTTCAGCTCCATCTTGAGACTAACAAGGCATGTTCCTTGCCAGTCACAACCATGGTCATCGATGTTTACAGCTGAGAAAACAACCTAAAGATACCCCAAAGGATACAGTCATACAGCAACAGAAAGTCCAGATGTCCCAATACCCATAACAGTATGTGCTTTCAGGATGGCTATAGTTACGCTTTGATGTACTTACACACTAGAATGTCATTACACATAAGAATGTTTTCTTTAAATCGATAGAATAATACATTTTGTCATGCTGTCAGCTTACTCACACATAGACACAGCTTAGCTTAGCTTTTACACAGATAAGACTCCTATATAAGAAAAACACACCACATCCCTCCACTTGCTTTCTGTGGACACCCTACTCTGTAACTGAGTAGCTTTCTTCTTTTTCTTTTTCTTTCTTTCTTTCTTTTTTTTTTTTTGAGACAGTCTTGCTCTGTTGCCCAGGCTGGAGTGTGGTGGTACAATCTTGGCTCACTGCAACCCCTGGCTCACGGGTTCAAGCAATTCTCTGCCTCAGTCTCCTGAGTAGCTGGGGTTACAGGAGCCCACCACAATGCCCCCACTAATTTTTTGTATTTTTATAGAGATGGGGTTTCACCATATTGTCCAGGCTGGTCTCGAACTCGTGACCTCAAGTGATCCACCCATCTCGGCCTCCTCAAGTGCTGGGATTACAGGCGTGAGCCACTGTGCCAGGCCTGATTGATTTATTTTTAGAGGCAGGATCTCTCTCTGTTGCCCAGGCTAGAGTGCAGGGGCCTGACCATAGCTCATGGTAGCCTTGAACTCTTGAGCTCAAGCAATCCTCCCACCTCAGCCTCCTAAGCAGCTGTGAGTACATGTGCAACCACCGGAACCGGCTGCTGCTTGGTATTTCTATATATTATTTGTATGGTTGGTGGGACTTACTTCCACTCAAAGGGGTGAATAAATTTGCCTAATCACATGGCTAATCAATGGTGCACCCAGGTCTGCCAGACTGTATGATAAACCAGGAATTATTCCCATTAAAAGATATCTAGCCATGTCAAGGTGGACAAAATTATCTTCAAAATTACCACCAGGCCAGGTCTGATCTAAGCTCCCAGTTTTGCTCTCTTCTTTGGGTAAGAGCTGATTCCATAGAGGGAACTGACAGGTTTTAGGTGGAGATATTGGCCTTCCGTCCCCTCTGCAGCAACTCAGGTTCCGCTGCAGAAATCACTAAGATGCTGAGATCATCCGTCTCCCTGGGCACCCCTGGCCCAAGGGCCTGCAGTCATCTGTGGGAGAAGCTGCTGGAAGAAAGCACATCTATGGAGACAGCCAGTATCTCTTCCTTTGTAGCTTTTGTATTTTGGTCTCTGCTCTGTATTCTGGAGCCCTCAAACATACCAAGTCCCTTTTCCATTTGGCACCCCCAGGAACATCAGAAGGTGGTTTCTTGTCTCTCATTTTACTCCTAAAGTTTATTCCTCAGAGCCTACGAACACCAAGTCCCTAAACCAAATATCGGCAGAGAGAAGGACCTGCCCCCTTTTGCTTTATCCTTCTCCCCTCATCCTCATCCATCATCTGCCCCCTGGATAAACAGCACAATGGTACTATCAGTGGCTTCATGATAGACATAGCTTTGGATGAATTTTTTGATATAAATTAGTGAACTGTCCCCCAAGTGGTACGTAATACTGTGCTGGTGTCTCTGCACAGAGACCCCCGTGGCTAATGTGGCCTTCCAGGCCGTGTTCCTCTCAGACACGTGACTATGCGCAGAGGCCGCAGTTCTGTGCAAATGCTCAGCGCCAGGTAAACACAAGACTGGATCTCTAAACTGGGGATTAGTAGCTTCTGTGGGTTGAGCATTGCTCAAGTGTCCCTTGCCAGGCAGTATCTTCTGTTCATTCTGTAAGCAAAAGGCTCCTGTGGTATTGCGTGTCCTTTAAGGACTTTTGGATATGAGACTAAAATCTCGTCCCCACAGCCGTTGGCAGGCACTGTAACAAGGGCAGTGAATATATCATCTCATTACATTATTTCTTCAATTTTCACTGCTGTCCTGAGGTGGTAATATGAACTCCATCGTATTGATGAGGAAATCAAGGCACGGAAAGGTTAAGTAATTTGTCCAAAGCAGGAATAGAAAAACATCAGAGCTGAGGTTCAAAGCCAGGTCTGACTCCAGGGTCCACACTTTACTTGTACTCCATGTTGCCTCTGATCCTAAAGGCATCCTTTGTGCCAGGAATTGTGTGCTTCACCCTGGACTACAATGTCAACCTCCCGAGGTCAGGAGCATCACAGCCATATTGAGAATTCTGCTCCGTGCATGTGCGGATGATACTTTCTGTAGGAAATATACATAGAAATATGCTTTGGGGGCAGCCTGGGGTGGGGGGAAAATGAGGGAGAGAGGTTACGAGATTTTGAAGGCTTATTCTATAAAATACAGCTTTGTTTTCCTTCGACTTCAATGGATTGAGCCAAGATCCGGCATCTTTACTGATATCAAAAGCTTTAATTATGCTCACCTCAGGAATCATGGCTCTGGGAAGCTTCCACAGGCTGATAAAGGAATTCCTGCGCCCGTGTGATCGTGCTCTTCTACCTTTCACTTCCTGACAGTCTGGCTTGACTTCAGAATCACATATATGCTTCAGTGTTTTTTTAATTGGGAGACAATTTCATCCAGCTTTTTTTGAGACTGCCACTGCAGCTTCCAAAAATGCATGCTGAGCCCCCAGTTGCCAGAACTGTAGTGTCACCCAGAGGGACATGACGATGAGGTTGCAGGAGAGCTCGCTGGGAAGGTTCATGGGCCTTCGGGTGCCTTCCCTCCACCCAGCACCCCCTTGTCAGCCCTCCAATCCTTCAAACCATCTCCTAGACAAGTTTGCAGAGCTTAACTCAAATGTGCCCTGGAGATTTCAAAATTAGAGAGATGACACTGTTTGGGGATTCTTCTGTGAGTCTTGTGAAAGCTTAATGGAGTGGTGATTCCGTTCCAGGTCCACTGTGGAGTTTTCTCAACTCCGCGTTCTCAGCAAGTATCTCAGTGATGACTTAGGAGATCAGAACATGCTGATAATTATTTAAATTATTGATGGATTTTTTTCTCCTAAGGTTCTTTGAGTATTTTTATACTAGAACTATGCTTCAGTCTAGGGAATTAACATTGTGATAAAATATTATGTGTAAAATTCACTCATTTAAAAATGTATTATAGAGGGAAGAAGAAAGGGGAGAGCCAGGAATCAATATTTCCTAAAGATATGGACAGATCAGAGACAGTGTTAGGAGCTCTTCATATACTATCTTGTTTAAGCCTCGTAGCACCACTGAAGGGCGGGTGCTATTATCCCCACTTTACAGATTAGAAAATAGAGGCTTACAGAGATTATGTGACTTTCTACCATTTTTCAGCATGTAAGTGTCAGTGCTGGAATTCAAATATAGGTTTGTCTCACTCTAAAATATTTATTATTTTTAAATATTTTATTGAGAAAGGAGTCTCATTCTGTTGCCCAGGCTGGAGTGCCGTGGCACAATCTTGGGTCACAGCAACCTCCGCCTCCCAGGTTCTAGTGATCCTTCTGCCTCAGCCTCCTGAGTAGCTGGGACTACAGGTGCATGCCACCACACCTAGCTAATATTTTGTATTTTTAGTAGAGATGGGGTTTCACCATGTTACCAGGATAGTCTCGATCTTCTGACCTTGTGATCCATCTACCTCAGCCTCCCAAAGTGCTGGAATTACAGGTGTGAGCCACTGTGTCCGGTCTATTTATTTATTTAGAGATGGAGTCTCACTCTGTCTCGCCCAGGCTGGGGTGCAGTGGTGGGATCTCGGCTCACTGCAGCCTCTGTCTCCCGGGTTCAAGGGATTCTCCTGTCTCAGCCTCCTGAGTAGCTGGGAGGACAGGCGTGTGCCACAATACCCTGCTAATTTTGTATTTTTAGTACAGACAAGGTTTCACCATGTTGGCCAGGCTGGTCTCCAACTCCTGACCTCAGGTGATCCACCTGCCTCAGTCTCTCAAAGTGCTGGGATTACAGGTGTGAGCCACCATGCTCGGCCTAAAACACTTAATTCATCAAAAGTACATTTAAAAAAAATTCCTAGTTTCAGGTATTTATTTTTTTAATTTTAATTTTTAAGCCCTCCCCTCCTTTTAAAAAAAATTTCCCACAAAAGAACATTTAGATACAGGTACAAGTCACTGCTGAATGGACATACAACATCTCACTTTAAGTAAATTCCACATGTAAAATATCCAGATTTGAGTCCCTCAGTCCTGTCGTGCCTAAAACCTGAACCATCCCTGGGTTCCCTGATGATTAAGCGAAAAGTTCCCATTTTTTATTAAATGGGTTTGAGGTTGTTTTTAATCACTTGCAGCTGATTTCATATTACTCTCCATAAGCTGGTGCACATGAGAAAAATCAAAATAATCACATTTTGGGTCACTGAGAGTGACAACAGGAATGAAATAATATTCTTTTTTTTTTTTTTTTTGAGATGGAGTCTCGCTCTGTCGTCTAGGCTGGAGTGCAGTGGTGTGATCTCAGCTCACTGCAAGTTCCGCCTCCCAGGTTCACGCCATTCTCCTGCCTCAGCCTCCCGAGTAGCTGGGACTACAGGCGCCCGCCACCACGCCCGCTAATTTTTTGTATTTTTAGTAGAGACGGGGTTTCACTGTGTTAGCCAGGATGGTCTTGATCTTCTGACCTTGTGATCTGCCCACCTCGGTCTCCCAAAGTGCTGGGATTATAGGCATGAGCCACCACACCTGGCCAATAGTCTCATATTCCAGCACCACCAGAAGGCCAGAAGGATCAATCTCTCTCTCTCTCTTTCTTTCCCTTTCTCTCTTGAGATGGAGTCTTGCCCTGCTGCCCAGGCTGGAATGCAATGGTGCAGTCTTGGCTCACTGCAACCTCTGCCTCCTGGGCTCAAGCAATTCTCCTGCCTCAGCCTCCCTAGTAGCTGGGATTACAGGCATGTGTCACCACACCCAGCTAATTTTTGTATTTTTAGTAGAGACGGGGTTTCACCATGTTGCCCAGGCTGGTCTTGAACTCCTGACCTCAGGTGATCCACCTGCTTCGACCTCCCAAAGTGCTGGGATTACAACAGTGAGCCACGGTACCCGGCCTATTTAGTTTTTTTTTTTTTTTTTTTTTTTTTGAGGAGGAGTCCCACCCTGTCACCCAGGCTGGAGTGCAGTGGCATGATCTCAGCTCACTGCAACCTCTGCCTTCCAGATTCAAGCAATTCTCCCTGCCTCAGCCTCCCAAGTAGCTGGGATTACAGACACCCACCACCATGTCCAGCTAATTTTTTTGGTATTTTTTAGTAAGGACAGGTTTTTACCATGTTGGCCAAGCTGGTCTTGAACTCCTCACCTCAGGTGATCCACCTGCCTCGGCCTCCCAAAGTGGCTGGGATTACCGCATGAGCCACTGTGCCCAGCCAGATATACATCTTTAAAATATTCCAATATGCTCTTCTAATGTGATATTGAAAATGGAAAAAAAAAAAAGTTCACACTGAGCCTGGGAGTTAGTGACTCCCCACATGGCCAGTGGCAGTGTCTGCCGGGGCCGGTGGCAGTGGGTGAGATGACTGGGGGCCCTGGATGCCAGACCTGGCTCCATCCCCCTAATATCTGTATTTCTGAGTCTTAGGGTCCAAGTTACCTCATTTGTAAACTGCAGATGATAAAAGCTGCCCTCCCTATTGATGATGTTGCCAAGAGAAATGAATCAAGTGCTTTACAAAGTTAAAAGGGTCTATTTTTTACTCACTGAATTTGAAAAAAAATTGATACAGATTTTGTATTTCTATATTCCATGAACATGTTTTTTTCTGCTTTGAGACTGCCGTTTCATCTGTACAGTGTAATTACTGCACTGCTGTTTTTGGATTTATGTACCTTCTTATAGATCATTTTAACTGCCTGTGATGGTACTAGTTAAAAGGTTACCATGGACTCATATATATCATGGAAAATTAGAATAGATTTGATATATTAATAATTACACCATTATAGAATGATTTCAGCACCTGGGTCTCTTACCTTAATAATAATAGCTGGCATTAATTGGGCATTATTTATGTGCCAGGTACTTTGCACATTTTATCTCTTCTACACTTCATCCAATGACGTAGTTACTATTATTAGCCCCATCTTACAGATGAGAAAACTGAGGTTTGAAGAGTTCAAGTTAAATTGTACAGAGTGGGACATTTGGAAGATGGCAGGGATGGGATAATTGGCTGGGCACTGAGAGTTTCAGCGCTGTCTGCCTCCCTATCACTCATGTCAGGCTGGCTTGTGGTGCTGTGGGCGTGGGGATGACACTGCTCGTTCCAGTGCCAGGACACACCTTTGATGAGCCATTCTCATCCCTGCCTATACAATGAGGCAAAGGGACCATAAAATTTCTGTAAAACATTTATGGAAAGGTGTCCTCTATGTCTTCTAGTATATAAATCAGGCCACAAAAGAGGTATTTGAGTGATGAGCTCCCTGTCTTCACCATCCTGTTTCCTGATCTCCATTTCCCCCCATTCACCAGCAGTGGTTCCCAAGGCCTTGCTTCCTCCCCAGGGCATACCGTGGAGCACAGGTGGACTACCACTGCCTGGGTGACCCCCACCCAGGGAGCCTCACAGCCCTGACACCTACCAATATAAGCTGCTCCATCTGTCACCATGTACTTGTTGCGATTTAACCTAGGAAAGGTGTGATTCTTTTGTTCTTTTGTAGCACAAGCATTCTCTCTTTCCAGATCAAAAAATTTCTGTAAGACAAAAACAGGTAAATAAGAGGAACGTTTCTGGTCTTGTCCAAGAGCACAAAAGAATGTATTATCCAAGTATCAACAATAGACCTCATGATGGGTTATTAAAGCCATAATCTTATTACCTCACATAGATGAAGCTATTTTTGTTCTCAAATCTAAATAGGCAACAAGAGAAAATTAGCATGCTCAACGAGGTATATAATTAACACTTTTAAGCTACAAAATGAACACAAAATTCCTTTTCTTTTTTCAGCAGGATAAGGGCCAGAAGGTTGTTTAATTCACATTGTCTTATTCATCAGGGTGCGCTGGCATTTGAAGCATGCCTTAGGGTGCTTTCTGTCAAGCATGGCAATGAACTGAATGAGTATTCTTACATGTTGCATACATTACGTCAATGACTAGCTGATTAAACCAGGGATTTGCAAAGGTCGAAAGAGACTTTGCCATAGGAACAAATACTTTTCCATCTGAACACCTAAGTCTAGGAGCTCTTTTGATAGGCAACTGAAAAAAAAATCACAATTTCAAACCGTGAATTCTGAATTTCAACTTTTATTGACTCAGAAGGCAACATTCCAGTTCACCCAAGGCCAGGAATGGGGCAGCTAAAAGAAGGGGTATGACTGCAGGAACGGCCAGGCTATGCCTTAGGGGTCTGCGGAATTTGCTAAATTCTCAGACAAGGCTTAAACTGTGGCTAAACTCATGGAACTCCATGACTCAGCTCACTGGAAGACATAGTCAAAGGTGAAAATATCAGTTATCCCCTATATGGGAAAATGGTGAGTATTTTCAGAACTGCCTGGAACCTTTTGGAATGTCCACAGCTATAGAATCATGTGTATTTAAAGGAAAGAAGAGGCAGGGAGGAAAATGGCATGATACCTAGAAAAGGAGATGTCATTTGCAGTTTTAAAACCGTAAGTGTTCACATTTGGCTTGAGGAAATAATGAGAGTTGGACTCCCCTCCCCTAGCGTGGTAGAATGGTGACAAGCTAGATGATCGCTAAGATCCCTTCTAGCCACAGAAGTTCTATTTTGAGTTTTTGTAAAACCCTTGAGGCTGCTCACAGTGCAGAGATCAAAATCTACCTAAAAACTGTCTATTCCACAACGCAGGTAAGCATGTGATCTGTGTGGCTCTCAGGGCCATATCCCCACGGTTATAGACGGTGATACCTGGTTCACCCAGTGTCCTCAGTTCCTGTCTTCTGCAAAATCTGCATTGATTTCTGGACTCTTCAAAGTGACCTAATGTTCTTAAGTCACAGTTTTATGTTCATGAGGTCACACGAACATTGAGAGCATCACCACCAATAACAGCCAGAAGTTACCTGTCTTGGACATTCTATCACCACACATGGCCACACGTGTGACTGTTTCCTTTTGGGAAAGATATTATTGTGGAATCAAGATGGATTTCAAAAAGAATAAAATATACATCTTGAGTTAAGTCAAGGATAGAGTCACAGCTTGAGGCTTCAGTAGAAACCCATTTGCTCTAGCAAGTCAAAGATGGCCCTTAAGAGGGGAAACAGACTAAAATGACAGCAGAAATCAGGTTTTATTCACTGATATTATTCGACACCTAATACACTGTGGGTGACAGCAAAGACATTTCAAAATGGATTTATTAGTTTGTTAAAAAAAAAAAAAAAATAAAAAAATCAGCTGACTAGGACAATTTTGTGCTTCGCAGTCTTTTCTCTTTCCATGAGCCCCTCATGGAGACAAATCCACATCAGGCCTGGAGGTGGTTGGAGGTGCGGGTGCCCACTCCTTTAAGGACAGAGATTCCCTACCTAGTTCCCAGGCCATGTGCTTTATCAGCACTACCAGGCTCCTGAAGACACGCTCTATGCAATATTCCAATCCCCACTTTTCTTGGAAGAGTTTATCACCCATCTGTGTTCTAGACATTAGGGCCATAAGCTTCTTGCCCATCTAGGCTTGTATTGATGCTTAGAAGTGTATGGCCTCTGTTTTATACAATGGCTATGTGTGAACTATTAATGTTTGGTTTATTCAAGAAAAGTGACCATTTGTGTTCAAAAACATCAAAAAGAGGAAGCTGATTAAGTACTATAAAGTTTGCAATGATGGATTCTACTTTCCTTGTAATTTTTGGTAATTCTTAGAGCAGTTGACATTTCACGCCCTGGAAGTTTCAACTGCAGGTGCCCTAGTGGCAGGTGTGCTGTTGGGCGGGGGGTGGTCAAGAAACAGCGGGTGGGCATGGACCTGTGACTTGGCCAGAGGAGAATTTGGAAAAGGAGATTGGAGCAAATGCACCATATGGTATACCGAAAGCTCCAGACTGTCCTCTCTGCTCCTGCTAGACCTCGCGAATAACAGGGGCTCCTCTGAGTGCGGCTGTACTGACCTCCAGAGTGCATGACTTCACTGGGCAGCCTCTTCACCCGTGGTCACCCTTCCCCAGCACACGCCTGCAGAAAATGGCTAACCACACCTTGGATTCAGGCACTGTCCTGGGTTCTGCCCTGTCCCCTCACTGGCTTGCAGAATCTTTCTTATCGCTCTGCCTTTATTAGCTCTCTTCTTTGACTTCGTATGTCATGCATGCACTCATTCAACATGTATGTTTTGAAAACTCCACCAAGCGTCATGTGAGTCATTGGTGAACTAGACACCTGTTCTTTTTCTCACTTCCTGTTTCCTGGAGCTCCATATGCCACTGTAATTATCTGGAAAAAGCTGTTTCTGAGCTGAATCAATCCCAAGAGTTCTCTTGTCTGTGAAAAGGTATTGAATACAATTAGACTCCATTCTCCTGTGTCTCTGACTCCCTGGGACTGCACCTGCTTCTCCTCTGATCCTGGGTACCTGATTCCAAACCCAGGTTGGCGCCCTGATCCAACTCCTGGTTATTTCATTTATTTGAAAATCTGGCCTGGAAAACAGATCTGTGGTAGTAATCACAGTCATGTTTTTATTTCTAATACTTATACTGATTTGTGACTACACAGATGTGTACATGATTTCCTCAGTTTACAAAAACCAGTTAAATAGAGATCAGAATTTCCATTATCCATCAAAGTTACCAGACTATTAGGGAGATTAAGATGAAAACACAGGAGAGAAGCATTATTTTTGGAAATTTACAGTAAATTCTACATTTCTATGAATTTAAGTTATTAATAATTTCATGAAAAATAAAATTTAAAATATCTTACTGGCATGAATGAGTTACAAACATCTGACCTTTTTTTGATCCTCAGGGATATAATTTGGATGTGTAGCTTCTTGTATCTTTGAGCAGATGCAGTAGATGATGTTTTGTTTTTGCTTTGAGACAGTCTTGCTCTGTCCCCAGGCTGAAGTGCAGTGGCAATCATAGGTCACTGCAGCCTTGAACTCCTAAGCTAAAGTGATCCCCTGGCCTCTACCTGCTGAGTCCTGAGTCCCTAGGACTACAGATGTGCACCACCACACCTGGCTAGTTTTTTTTTTCATTTTTTTTCCTTTTATGTAGAAATAGGGTGTTGCCATGTTGTCCAGGCTGGTCTTGAACTCTTGGCCTCAAGGGATCCACTTGTCTTGGCCTCCCAAAGTGTTGGGATTAAAAGTGTGAGCCACTGCACCTCGGTGTATATGACGTTTCTGAATATAGATAAGAAAGATTAAAAAGGGCTTTGTGACTGCAATGATCTCTTCTACATGCTGGGGCCTTGGAGACATGTTTAAGAGTTCAGGTTCTGGAGTTCAAAAGACTTAGGTTTGAGTCTTGCCCCATTACTCATGAGTGTCCTGGAGAGAGGTTATCTAATGTAAGCTTCAGTTCCCATGTCTATAAAATAGGGAAAGTACCTGTTTCACAGGGTAATTGTAAATATTATCTCTCTTAAGTGTTTTTGTAGAGATGGGGTCTCCCTACGTTGCCCAGGCAGGTCTTGAACTTGTGGCCTCAAGTGAACCTCCTGCCTTGGACTCCCAAAGCACTGAGATTACAGGCATAAGCCACGTGTCTGCCTGTCTGGTTGTGGATATTACATAATCTATATAAGGCATTTAACTCAGTGCCTGGATAACTGTATATACTCATGAATATTCATGAATATAACACATTTCTTCACTTATTTAAAAAGTATTAAGTACTTACTAAGTTCAGGCAATGTGAAGTGCGTGTTGCTATAACAGCAACACAACAAAAACTTAATAAATGATGTAGCACTAGTTTACTCATTGGGCAGCGGGCAGCAAGTAAATTGGTATTGTAGGATGGAAAGATGAAATCTCATGTTATATAGTGACAAACTATTTGGTAAAACCATAACCGGCATTTATTTGGAAGGCATACCAAGTACCACCGAACCTTTGGCTAATAGGGCTTTGGCTGTAGGGACCGTGGAAATGAATTGTTTGTACTGTGTGTGGTTATTTGTGTTTTTTTGTTTGTTTGTTTGTTTGTTTTTTTGAGACAGGGTCTTGCTCTGGAATGCAGTGGCGCAATCTCGGCTCACTGCAACCTCTGCCTCCCGGGTTCCAGGTAATGCTTGTGCCTCAGCCTCCCAAGTAGCTGGGATTTCAGGCGTGCACTACCACGCCCAGCTAATTTTTGTATTTTTACTAGAGATGGGGTTTCACCATGTTGTCCAGACTGGTCTTGAACTCCTGACCTCAAGTGATCCACCTGCCTTGGCCTCCCAAAGGGCTGGGATTATAGGCGTGAGCCACTGTGCCTGGCCTGTTAGTTGTGCTTTTAAAAAGCTTATGAGAGGAGATAAATAGGCTCAGGGAAGGAATGGCTAGTTTACAAGTGGAAATGATAGAGAGCAGATAGATCAGAAATTTGGTATTTCACAGGGTTAGAAAGCTGATTGTACCTAGAACTCAATAGAAAATAAGTATGAAAAATCCTTTAAGTGGCCAGTGAAGACTGAGCCCTGTAGAAAAGATGAAATAATTGGTGTAATTTTAATAGGGGTAATCTTCCCACCTGTGTCTGATGGTCTTGAATGAACCCTATCATTAGAGAGAGAGAGAGAGAAGTCTATGAAGTAGAAAGCATAATTCATCAAGTTAGGGAATTACGTACAACAAGAAACTTTGGACATGGCTATGGATACATGGAAATAACTAGAAGCAAGGACATCAGAACCTGCTACATTTCTGAGAAACTTGCATTGCCCAAGAAACCAACCAGCTCATGCTAGGACCCCAAACTCCTTTAACTCTTCATGCCTTAAAACAACCTTGGGGCCGGGCGCGGTGGCTCAAGCCTGTAATCCCAGCACTTTGGGAGGCCGAGACGGGCGGATCAGGAGGTCAGGAGATGGAGACCATCCTGGCTAACACGGTGAAACCCCGTCTCTACTAAAAAATACAAAAAACTAGCCGGGCGAGGTGGGGGCGCCTGTAGTCCCAGCTACTCGGGAGGCTGAGGCAGGAGAATGGCGGGAACCCGGGAGGCGGAGCTTGCAGTGAGCTGAGATCCGGCCACTGCACTCCAGCCTGGGCGACAGAGCCAGACTCCGTCTCAAACAAAACAAAACAAAACAAAAAAAACCCTTGGGTCCTCGGTCTGAACCAGCAGGCATATGAGGACTTCACAATACCTTCCCAGAAGAGCTTTATAATTGCTGTGGACCAGGGACTGCCATGGGCCTCCGAACCTTCCCTTTCTAATGGCGGTTTTCCTTGTGCTTATCCTGTTTCTGTACTCAGGAAGGGAGATAGCCTTAACCTGATTTTGGGTATTTTTTGGTGAGCGGTGGGGAATTCTTACTGTTCTGTTTTAGTTTTTATATTGACAAACTATGATGTACCGCTTTCAGGCGCAATGTCCAGAAATGCACATCACTGGAAGACTGTGCAGTGACTGCGTGAAACTTTGCGTTTTCTCCCTTGTGGGAGGTGGGAATGAGGGTTCTCTACGAGGGAAGATGAGTGAAATGGATCCTGTGTACCAGGAACTTCAGATCATGATGATTCACAAACCTGTTCCTTTGTCACCCTGGAAACACAGCTGGCTTTCTGAATAGGGTCATAAGCCTCCCTGGCTATTAGGCATGGCCATGTGAAAGCTATCCAGGCAGTGGAATGAAGGCTAAAGGGACGTTCCCTACCTCCAGGCCTAATCCAAAAGTGCCTCTCACACAGTCCTCCAGTTCTGCTCTTCTCCTGTCTGGCCTTGGGATATTCAGGGTCAGGGCGATCATGGAAGCCATGTGTCAAAGTTAATTGCAGAGCCCTTGATACCCTGGGTCCCTAAATCTAGGGATGCAGCTTGGTTACCTAGAAGAGAGCCTGCCACAGGCCAGATTCTCAGTGCGTGTTTGTTGAATGACTGCATGGGGGTTGAGGAAAGCTGAGACCTAAAGGATTAGTGGTTATGAGGTGGGTAAACATAGAGAAGAATGTTGTAGGCAGAGGGAATAGCTTGCACCAAGTCTGGAGCGGAGGAAGAGGGCGATGAGGATTGGAGTAGAGTCAAAGACGAGCTAGAGAATTAACACATTTCAGATCTATTCCCAATCCCCAATCTTACCTCCCTCAAGGTCTCCAGAGGTGGATTAGTATGTGGCCCAAGGGACCTGCGGCAAGCATGGGGACCCAGACTAGGAGGCTTTGGGCTGGGGGAGTCTGTGCTGGTGCATGCACCAGTGCTCTGTTGGTCACAGTCTTACAAATGAGAACAGTAGGTGAATGGGGTAGTTCAAGCAAAATAGAGAGGGCCAGGTGCGGTGGCTCATGTCGGTAGTCCCAGCACTTTGGAAGGCCAAGGTGGGCAGATTGCTTGAGCCCAGGAGTTCAACACCAGCCTGGGCAACATGGTGAAGCCCCATCTCTACCAAAAATGCAAAATTAGCTAAGCCCAAGGATCAAGGCTGCAGTGAGCCGGGATTGTGCTACTGCACTCCAGCCTGGGTGACAGAGCAAAACACTGTCTCAAGAAAAAAAAAAAAAAAAAAGAAAAGAAAAAAGAAAATGGAAAGGATGCAACAGAAAGGGAGAAGAGGGCTGGACAGAGAAAGTATCAGGAAACATGAGCTCTACTCTCCTTTTTTTGTATGTGATTGTTTTGAAAAAACGTGCTTTTTGAAGATTGTCATCCTGGTTCTCACTGGAAGTTTACACGTAGGTGTATGCTTGCAGCTTTCACACACATGCAGAGGGCATTCACTTTTTATTTAGTAACACAGTCAACACAATACTTACGACTTTCAAACTGCAGTTGGCTATTTCGGTGCAAATCGCTTTAAGAGATGAAATAAAGTTAAACGTAAGGGGATCAGTTTCCTTCCAGAAGCTTATAAGGAGTCGAACTCTAACGCTTCGTAAAACTAATGCTTCTCTTATTTTTGCATCCAAGTCTGGCCAGTAAGTCCTGCAGAAATCATATCCAAATAGTAAAAACAAAGAAATTTAGTTTGGGGAAAGAAGTTTACTAGACAGCACAGAACATTGATATTACTCTGATCATTACTTTATCCTGTAATATATAAACAACCTCATCGGAGAGGTTGAAAAACATACAAGCCTCTCAGCTTAGGCACCAAGAAATGATGATTTGCTGGGACCTGCCCCTGCCTGAAAGGAGGTTTCCTGCCACCAGGTCCTTGGGCTGTGTGGGCTGGGGTGAGGACAGGCTGACTGCCACCACAGGCCACCTTTACTACATCTCTGATGCTACCTGGGCCTCAGTCCACTAAGAACTGATTATCCAATAGAATTCCAGTTAGGAACCCTGAGCACCCCCTCAGTCCCCAAATGCCATTAAAACTTCTCTTTGGTGACTGTCCCCGAAATGAACTTCTGCTCTGGTCATCTGAGCTTCCCCACACTTTCCATTCCCGACTGTCCTTGCCGTGGTCTCTCCTGACCAAGACTCCCACTACTCCCCTACCTTCCACATTTTCTGCAGGGCTTTTGGAATCTTTCAACAGGCAAAGTTTCCCCAACAGGCTCGGCCTTTCTCTGAATCCTTAAGCCTTTGCCTTAACTGAATCCTGATTCCTCCCTGAGGCCGCAGCTTCTCCTGACATCCTGCGTGCATCTTCTACCATGACCTGGCCGCTTGGTTTATGATGCTGGGCAGCCTCCTGCTCTGCCTCTGCCGGCCCCCAACACACGCCGTCACTTCCAGAACTGTCATTTAATTCTTATGTTAAAACAAAAAGCTTTCCTGTCTTAAGGACCAAGCCTTAAATCATTCTCCCTCCCCTCGGCCCTGACATTTGTAGACCTTTTGTTTACTCATCAAACTCTTACCCTATATTCTGGGCCAATTCAGTATTTGAACTAATGATATATTATTTGAAACTGTAGCCTGCCAGTGTCATGATCATTGCACCTCTAAAGGCCTCCTGTCCTGATTCCCCACTCTCTTAATCACTCTTTCGTCACATGCAGGCTGCAGATTCATGATGCCTTCAATCAGCCCGGTCCATCAGCCTCTCCTGTCTCCCTTGCCTGCCCAGCCTCATCTCAGTTCTGATCACTTGAATAATACTTGCCTCTCTACCTTCCTCTTGCTCTCGGCAAAAATCTAGATCCTGGATCCACACTACAGTTCTCTTTGTCTGGTTTTATACCCATGAAGCTGAGGAAAGACCGTCTCAGCCTTGTGCTGGAACTTGGTTTCTCTGCCTCCAGTCAGGCACTTCCTCGATGACCACCACAGTGATCATCTAAGGCAGACCTGGTAAGGCTACTTCTTGAATTAAAACAGTGGGGCCGGCGTGGTGGCTCACACCTGTCATGCCAGCACTTTGGGAGGCCAAGGTGCGTGGATCACTTGAGGTCGGGAGTTTGAGACCAGCATGGCCAACATGGTGAAACCCCATCTCTAATAAAAATACAAAAATTAGCCGGACATGGTGGTGTGTGCCTGTAGTTCCAGCTACTGGGGAAGCTGAGGCAGGAGAATCACCTGAACCCAGGAGGTGGATGTTGCAGTGAGCCGAGATCGTGCCACTGCACTCCAGCCTGGGTGACAGAGTAAGACTCCATCTCAAACAAAAACAAAACAAAACAAAACCCACCCCTCCACAAAAATCCATCAAGTGGAACCGCCACAAAGTCACAAGACTCCCCCAGTGGTTGGGATCTCTGGTTTCTGGCCCTTGCCCCCTCTTCAATTAGATCTCTCACCACTTTACCTTGAGCTCTTTTTTTCTCCATCTGAAACTTGGCTCATGCTGTCCCTTCCACTGGGAAAATTTTTCACCCTTTCTGACAAATTCCTGAGTTTTAAAAAGTTTTTTTCAAGAAATTTTTGTGGAGAAACTGAATATTTTGAATTGTAAGTCAGTGAGCATCTCCTCCAATGGGCTGCTTCTAACCCTGAAGCTGCACGGCGGGGGCTCTTTTACCTAGCGTCTGTAATATTCTCTATAGACGTTCACTGTACCAGTCACACCTCTGTTCTAACAGTCTCTTTCCTGTCCTGTTAGATGGAGGTTGAGATCATATGCTCTTCATGCTTTAATCACTAGTCACAGTGCTCAATAAATATTTGTTGAATGAGGCTGGGCGCGGTGGCTCACGCCTGTAATCCTAGCATTTGGGAAGCCAAGGCTGGTGGATCACCTGAGGTCAGGAGATCGAGACCAGCCTGGCCAACATGGTGAAACCCCGTCTCTACTAAAAATACTAAAATTAGCCCAGTGTGGTGGCATGTGCCTGTAGTCCCAGCTACTACTCAGGAAGCTGAGGCAGGAGAATCACCTGAACCTGGGAGGCTGGGAGGCAAAGGTTGCAGTGAGCCGAGATCTTGCCATTGCACTCAGCCTGGGTGACAAGAGTAAAACTCTGTCTCACACACACACACACAAAATTGTTGAATGAATACATAAAAAGCATTAATACTTGAAAGACTAATCAGGCTACATTTTTATTATTCCTTTACACACTTACTGATTTCCTTGTGAAAGATGTATTTTATGTGACTGAAGAAATAAATAATGAACAACTCCGAACTGAGACCTAAATAATTAAGTGACTTGCTTAAGAAAGAGAGCTTGATTGCTAAATCAGGAAGAAGTGAAATAGGGCTTCTGAGTTTTTTTTTTTTAAACGGAGTTTCACTCTTGTTGCCCAGGCTGGAGTGCAATGGCGTGATCTCGGCTCACTGCAACCTTGGCTTCCCAGGTAAGTGATTCTCCTGCCTCAGCCTCTCAAGTAGCTGGGATTACAGGTGCCTGCCACCACGCCCAGCTAATTTTTGTACTTTTAGTAGAGATGGGGTTTCACCATGTTGGTTGGGACGGTCTATAACTCCTGACCTCAGGTGATCCGCCCACCTCGGCCTCCCAGAGTGGTGGGATTACAGGCGTGAGCCACTGTGCCTGGCTGGCTTCTGAATTTTTACTGTAGGATTTATTTAGTCACAGAACATTGCTCCATTCCCTTCCTACTATCTTGAAAAGTAGAAGTTATTTCTAACACTATGGCTAAATAATAGTGTGTGTTTTTTATACATGCTGTTAATCATTTCTGATTTGAGAGTGTATGATTTTTTTCTCTTTCATTTGGATGGTTGGCAATATATAGACTAAAAGTTAAGTCTGAAAGATTAATTCCATTAACATACTGAAATTTGATAGTATTTACCTATTTATTAAAGTTGAATTCACTCCTGAAAAGCTTTTCCGGGACTAGATAAAGACGAGTAACCAGTCTGAATTTATATAAATAATTAATTTATCTGATTGAGAAGAATTTAATTATGATCTTGATGCTTGGACAACTACTTATGTCTCTTTGATGATCTTTCAATTTAGAAAGTTAAAAGCATTTACAGGTTTAAAATTTTAAAAATACAATAAAAGAAGTTTCATTTAATAGCTGAAATGGTAGATTCATAACCAAAATGCAAAATTTCAAGTGAGCCTCTGATTCTTTAACATTCTTTTCGTTTTCTCTGGATTTCTAAAATATTTTAGATCCTCCATGCTAATTATTTACCCCTTCACCATAAAGAATCTCAATTTTGTTCATAGAACTTCAGGGAACAAAGGTTTTGTCAATCCTGAGAAATCATCATGCCATCCTAACGTGTAACTCCCTGAACTTGACCTTATTCTCCTTCTCAATAACAGGAAAATCAGGTAAAACCCCTATTATGTTTTGAAATGTTCCCAAAGTGGAGGTAAAATCTAAAACTAAATCTAAAACCAAGTGAACAACAAAGGGAGGAAAAATAAAAAGGAGGGATAGAAAAGGTGTGGAAGTGTGTCGGGAAGAAAATCCATGAATGTCCAAAGGATGCTCTTTGTGTGTGTGTGTGTGTGTGTGTGTGTGTGTGTGTGTGTATTGAGATGGAGTCTCACTCTGTGGCCCAGGCTGGAGCACAGTGATGTGATCTTGGCTCACTGCAACCTCTACCTCCTGGGTTCAAGCGATTCTCCTGCCTCAGCCACCTGAGTAGCTGGGATTACAGGCGTGCGCCACCACACACAGCTAATTTTTGTAAAGATGCACAATATTTTAAAATAAAAGTGTTTAAATAAATGCATCTTGCAGCTAAAAGTGCTTTTCTACTAACTGTTATAAGAAACATTTTCTTGGAGAAAGACTCTGTAATCCTATGGTTATTTGCACAAAGAAGCTACATATTATGCATCATGTAGGGTTGGTGATGTAAAAATTATTCAAGCAATATAGGGCATACTTAATCATTTAGCCTTAGTAAATGGTTATTTTGAAACTGTAATATTCCAAATTAAAAAGGCCTTGGGTCACACTCCGGAAAATATGCACTTTGAAAACATTTCCTGGATCAAACTAATTATTCAAGCACCTCTGCATTCCCAGCAAGAAAGCAAAAGTGGAAATACCTAAGCATGGCCATGCATTTATGCATGCAATGATTTTCCAAAGAGTTTGTCATAAATTCCATCCCTGAATTTATTCCATGTTTGCATGCTTGAACAATGATGAATTATTGAAAAGCATTGCATTTTTAAACGGTTCTCTTTTCACAGAGAAGGATGGATTGACTGAGAACATATATAAGTTTCTCTTTTTTTTTTGAGGTGGAGTCTGTCTGTTGCCCAGACTGGAGTGACTGGCGCAATCTTGACTCACTGCAAACTCCACCTCCCTGGTTCACGCCATTCTCCTGCCTCAGCCTCCAAGTAGCTGGTACTACAGGCACCTGCTACCATGCCCGGCTAATTTTGTTTTTGTATTTCTAGTAGAGACAGGGTTTCACCGTGTTAGCCAGGATGGTCTCGATCTCCTGACCTCGTGATCCACCCGCCTCGGCCTCCCAAAGTTCTGTGATTACAGGCGTGAGCCACTGCGCCCGGCCTCTTTCTCCTTTACATTGAGAAGATATTATGAGAATTTGGCATTAAATGAAGACTGCTGTGAATATAAAACAACAATGCTTCCCTTAAGGAAAGTCTGGGAAGACTACTCAGTTTCAATACACCCTTTTCAGGTATATCCTTGTTAATAATTTTCAAAGGATAATTTTTTCATATAATATTTTATCTTTTATCCTTTCAAATAATTTTCCAGTTGAGAGCAACCTAATTTTCTTTCGAAAGTTACTCTCATTTCCATAATGTAAACTACTGAGGTACTTCTGTAGGGTGAGACCCTGAGCCTTTAAAATGGACTCACTTTAGGAAGAGGTCCATAATGAGTAAATTGCCAGTGCACACTAAAGAGCATTGAATGGTGTACTCTTCCTAAGGCAACCCAATGGCATCTCCATTTCCAGGCTGGCTTCTCCTGTGGTGCCCAGTTTAGTGCCTGGTCTTAGGGACGGGGTTCTCACCAGAGGCTGGGCATTCACTGACCTTTTGGTGCTCGTGCTGGAGATAGGCAGGTAGTCCATGACAGCGATGTACACGTACTGCTTGGCGTCGTCTATCACACTGTAGATGGCATCTATGTCAAAACTTCTGTTTTTAGGGCAAAAGAGTTTTGGAGAATTCTGTGAAGACACAAAAGCCGAACGTTTAGCGTACTACTTTTTGGCAGCCGGGGATTTCTTTATTTCCTTTGTTCCCATGGACCTTGGCTTCTAACTATATTTTTGCCAACCTAATTTCTGCTTCATCAAATTAGACAAAGCTATTTTTAATCTTATCAAAGTTGAATAAAGATCAAAGTGCGGTGGGATGGGTCTCAAGTCTGTTTTGGAGAGAATTCTTTCATTATCTGACACATTTTGATTTTCAATTTTTATGTATTAAAAAGTTTAATTGATACATAATTGTATATATTTATGGGGTACATAGTGACATGATTCATATAATGTATAGTGATGAGATGGTAATCAGCATATCTGTCATCTCAAGCTTTATCATTTATTTGTATTGGAAACATTCAATATCTTCTAACTATCTGAAACTAATATATCATTGTTAAGTATAATCACAGTTAACTACGGTCCTCTAGAACAAGGGTCTCCATTCCCCAGGCCAGGGACCAGTCCTGGGCCGCAGAGCAGGTGAAAGACAGGCAGGCAAAGCTTTGTCTGTATTTATAGCCACTCCCTTGCTCGCATCACCGCCTGAGCTCCGCCTCCTGTCAGACCAGTGGGGGCATTAGATTCTCATAGGAGCGTGAGCCCTACTGTGAACTGCACATGTGAGGGATCTAGGTTGTGCGATCTCCTTATGAGATTCTAATGCCTGATGATCTGTCACTGCCTGCCATCACCCCCAGAGGAGACCATCTAGTTGCACAAAAACGACTCGGGGCTCTCACTAATTCAACAATGTAGTGAGTTGTATAATTATTTCATTATATATTACAATGTAATAGTAATAGAAATAAAGTACACAGCCAGGGGTGGTAGCTCAAGCCTGTAATCCCAGTACTTTGGGAGCCTAAGGTGGCCAGATCACTTGAGGTCAGGAGTTCAAGACCAGCCTGGCCAACATGGTGAAACCCCGTCCCTACTAAAAATACAAAAAATTAGCTGGGCATGGTGGTGGACACCTGTAGTCCCAGCTACTCAGGAGGCTGAGGCAGGAGAATCGCTTGAACCCAGGAGGCAGAGGTTGCAGTGAGCTGAGATCGCACCACTGCACTCCAGCCTGGGCAACAGAGCAAGATGCTGTCTCAAAAGAAAAAAGAAAAAAAGAAAGTGCACAATAAATGTAATGCCCTTCGATCATCCCAAAAGCATCCCTGCTGACCCTGGTCCATGGAAAATCTGTCTTCCATGAAACCAGTCCGTGGTGCCAAAAAGGTTGAGGACCACTGCTATAGAACAATGGAACTTATTCTTCCTATCTTGCTGTTATTTTTATATCCATTAACAAATCTTTCCCCATCCCCTCTTTTCCCAGTCTCTAGTATCCTCTGTTTTACTTTTTACTTAGGAGAGAATTCTTGCTTTCCATGCACACACTTCTTTTTGGAGGAGCACTCCACCTCCAACCTTACACAATTCGGTCATACATAGCTATAATTTTCTCAGGTGCTACTACACATGCACACACACTGCACATAGCAAGCCATTCACCCCAGCATTTTCATTTCATCTGAAATGTGATGATGTGGCCATGAAAATGTTTGAAACTCAAAATCTAAACAAAAACAAACTGAAAAATCTTGGAGATTTTTTCGTTTCTCCAAAATCTTTCATTGAGTTAGGAGAAGTGTTGATCGTTGAGAAAAGGTCACTGATAACAGTGCAGGGAAATCTGAGGGAGCTATTAAGATGCCCAAATTCAGCAGGAGAAGCCAGGGAAGAAGGGCGTTCGGAGAGATTTAAACAAAATGAAAAAAGAGGCAAATTCTGCTGGAGGCATTTTTCTCATGTTGCTTGAGGTGGTTTTCATTTTATAAAAATACAGTGTTTGTAGATGCAGTTGCTGTAGAAAAGGAAAGATGTGCTTGGTTTTCTCATTATTTTTCCACTGGACAGGACTGAAAATAGTGTTTCTCATAGTTCCTGTTTTCCTTTGACAAGCAATACGCTGTGACAAGTATCACATAAATAATGCCAGGGGCATTACAATGGGGCATAAATAATGCCAGGATGTTTAATACCAAAAGGCTGAATAAACAGATTTTTGGAACTGCCTGGAATGAATGGTAGTATTGGGCGGTCAGAGTTCCTCCTAACCAATTATGTCTGGAACAACTCCCTACACTGCACAGCTTAGAGGTTTGTGAGATGGAGCTGTTGGACTGGATGCCCACCTTAGGAGGGGCATAGGGGTAAGGAAGGAGCATGCTGAGGATCACACACCTTCCAGGTTTCCTCACACAGAAAGCCCTCTTGGCAGGTGATCATGAGCAGGATGAGTTGGTTTTTTAAAAAACAATTTCAACTTTTATTTGAGATTCAGGGGGTACAGGTGCAGGTTTGTTACATGGATATATACTGCATGATGCTGAGGTTTGAGGCACAACTGATCCCATCACCCAGGTAGTGAGAATAGTACTCAGTAGTTTTTCCACCCGTGCCCCCTTCATTCCCCCCGTGCTGGTGGTCCTCAGTGTTTAGTGTTGCCATCTCTTTGTCCATGAGTACCCAATGCTAACTCGCACTTATAAGTGAGAACTTGGTATTTGGTTTTCTGTTCCTGCATTGATTTGCTTAGAATAATGGCCTCCAGCTGCAACCATGTTGCTGCAAAAGACACGATTTTATTCTTGTTTATGGTTGCGTAGTATTCCATGGTGTATATGTACCGTATTTTCTTTACAGGTTGAGTTTTTGATCGTTGATGTTTTTCTTTTGGAATGAGGATGAACTTCAATCCTGTTTTGTAAAGGTAGTCCTACACTCCTCTGTCATCAGCACACAGATATACAGACACTCCATCTGTCACCAAGACAGAAAGCCTGTGCCTCTGCAGGGTTTCCTGGGTCTGTCCCTCCTCTTACTCTTGATCGCTCAGTAAGTTTCCCTCACTCGGGCACTAGTGCTGCTTGCAGGGATGTTCTAACCTCTTTCTAACTAACTGGCTTATCTCTGGGATGTTTAAAAACAAATATACACCACTCCCAGGATGAACTGACTCCTGGTTTCTCAGAATCCAGCTTGAACTCATTGGGAGGGGTGTATCCATGGTCCTGTGTCTCTGCCTCCTTCATTTACCAACTCCCATCCTGTCTGTGACCCCAAATTCAGGTAATTACCAGTCCACAGCTGTGCCCTCATTATGTCTGACTCCGGGCATCTCTGCTCATGCCGGCTTCTCTGGCTGATGTGTCTTTATTTTTGTCTATCAAAGTCCTACACTAATTCTGTTCTCTAAATTCCAGCCCAGATGTGATCTCCTCCATTAATTTTTTTTTTTTTTTAATACAGTCTAGCTCTGTTGCCCAGGCTGGACTCCAGTGGCACAATCTCAGCTCACTGCAACCTCCACCTCCCGGGTTCAAGCAATTCTACTGCCTCAGCCTCCCGAGTAGCTGGGATTATAGGCGCCTGCCACTACACCTGGTTAATTTTCGCATTTTAGTAGAGATGGGGTTTCACAATCTTGGCCAGGCTGGTCTTGACTACCTGACATGATCCACCTGCCTCAGCCTTCCAAAGTGCTGGCATTGCAGGCATGAGCCACCACGCCCAACAATTAAGTTGTTTTTAAATCTCCAAAGGTTGCTTTTCCTAACCCTGTACTCCCATATTATTTATTTCTTTCGCTTTTTCTTTTTTACCATTTTTAAGTGTACAGTTCAGTGGATTTTAGGGATTGTATGTTACACATTTTCCTATGCCATTAAAAATATTCAAATTATTTAATTCCCTTAGCCTGTTGGCTCTGCTTTGAAGGTTCTTTGGTTAACGTGGAGAAGCTGAAGGTCTTTGCTCCAGATGGGCGATTAGGCCAACTCTGAAATGTGTCCAAATGCGCACATTTGTGTTTCAGTTAGGAACTCCCTGAATTTCACTGCTTGTTCCAAAACCAGATTTTGGTTTTGGGGAGGAACAAATGTAGGCAGAGTTGTTTGTGGTCTCTTTACATTTGCTATTATCTTACAAGTATGGACACTGTGGCCATAATTTAGAGGAAAGAGCATGGGCTTTGGTGATACGGGCCAGACTCCAGCACTTAGAACCCGGGGCATCTTGGTGTGTCCCTTACACTTTTTGAGCCTCTGTTTCCTAATGGGGTTAATGACAATAACACACCTTTCATACTGGTTTGCCTTGCAACTCAAATACATGAATGGCCTGTTCGCTGGCTGGGTTCCATGCCCCTCTTCTGTGCGAGCTTTCATTCAATCAGCAAATATTCCCAGGCTCTGGTCTAGGAAGGGGACATACATCAGTGACCAAGACAAGATCCCTGCTTTGTGGAGCTTCATTCTAGCACATGTTACATGCAATTGCATTCATCTGTCTATGTGTTTAGCCACTTGCTTGTGAGCTGCCTGGTTGTGTAGCTCTGGCATCTTGTGCCATGCACATGTTACATGCTCAATACATACTTGTGGAACGAATGTGAAAGTGCTTCATAAATGCATAAACATTGGAGGTTTGTCTGTGGGAGTCTGTTGCTTCAATCTGGGTATTTCCAAACCTGCGTCAACAGATCTTTATAAGCACTTACCTGCCCTATTGCTTCCTGTGTTCCCACTGCCTGACACAATGGCAGGTGCTCGAGCTCCATGTGTTTATGAAGGAAATGCATATTTGTATCAGTCCCCATGCACCTGCGGGCTGGGTGGTACTCCGCTATGTGTTCTAGAGTCTTCTACCTTTAAAAATAGTGCCTGGATAGACTAGTGGCTTTAAAATGTTTGTCCAGAATAGAAATGAATAAACAATAACACAAAAGAATGAGCTGGCAGAGGAAGTTAACTAGTTCCAACTGTTTAATTAAAGAGAGGGCTAAGCTTCCCTCTCATCACTCCTGAATTAATTTTCTGAGCCTTGTGCTGTGCACTTCTTTGTTCCATAGTAAAGTAGAAGGAGAGGGAAAATACAGGTCCTCTTCAATATTCCAGCTCTGTGGCAAT